TTGACTGTATATAAAAAAGAATGTGTAAAAGAAAAAAACATGTAAAAAAAAAGATGTATAAAAATGAATGGATTTAAAAGAAAGCTTAAATAAACTTTTAAATATGATTTTGATAGTCTGCTATAATAAAATTATTATTATGTAAGAAGTATTTAATAACTATATAATATTATATATATATATAATAGTTTTATAAATTCCTTTAAAAAATATTGTATTTTAATACAAATTTATTATTTTTTTTTTTTATAAATAATTATTATAATTAAAAATCTATAAAAATCTATAAAAAATTCATAGAAATATTACAAAATACTGAATTTTGACATTTCATCTTTTAATTTTAAATGTTTAAATTATTTTGATTTAGTCAAATGATTAAATATTTTAGTTTTGCTTAGGATCTCTAGTAGTGGTAGATGGAAGCTTAATATTTATTACCATCTTTATTCAGTTTTTCCCTTTATTTAGGATTTTCTGAGAATTATGATTTTTCTTTTTGTTTTTTAGTTTTTTTTTTTTTAAAATTTCAGTATTTTTACTTTTAATTTTCTTTTAGGAAAGTTGAAATATTGGGATGTTGATCATTTAGGTTGGAGGTTTAGTATTATTTAATTTGTGATCCGCCCATAAAATTTGACTATTAAAAGGCGGTGATAAGTTCATATATATTTTTAACAATAATTTAGAATCTGTGATTCCGGAGAAAAAATATGGGATAACTCACCTTCTATCGGTCATAGAGACATAAAATTATTACCATTAAATGCGTCTTGATGAGACGAATCTGATGAACCAAATTTTATTTTCCTACGACCACTAGATGATGAGTTATCTTTAAAATTTTAATTTTTTTTTTTCAAATTCAAATTTTCAGCTCTTATGAAAGTGTCTTTTGGTGCTTAAAATTTTTACCAGTCTTTTATTACTAAGACAGTCAAATGGCATATTTTTATGGCTATAATATTAGTTTTCATATTATATTTTAATAATATATACCTTGCATTGCCAGAACTGTAGATTCCGCGCTATTAATAAATATACAGTCAACTCTCTTTATAGTCACACATTTGGGACAGTCTATATTTGGTGATTATAAAGAGATGTGACTATATAAAAAATTTCTTATATTTGTATATCATAATTCCGGCCAAAAATTAACATAATTTTAGCCAGAATTATACTTAAAACTTTATTGTATCGTAACTT